CCCCAAAACCCCAAAACCCCAAAACCCCACTAAGAAGAGATTAGATTAATTCAGACTTTTAATAAATTCTACTTTATAAATAATTATCAATGGAAGATATAGCAGCTATTACCAGAATCACTCCAGCCGAATAAGTACAGCATAACCATATATAATGATCAAAATCTAATAATCATTTCATAGACTCACGTTGAAAGATTACAGAATATTTATTCTATTATCAAAACTATCGAATACCTAGTAAATTTAAACTCATACTTATTCATTATTCAGGAGTGGGCATACATGTCAGGAAAAGTCAAAGGTCCAGAATACGATGCTTAATGCAGAGAACTTCTTCATTAGTATCAACTAAGCTCTCAAGCAATTTAGGGTTTCTAGGGAATAGATACCTTCCTAAAAGTATATTAAAAAATTTATAAATGTACTTGCATAGGAATATGATTTAATTCAATGCTAGAGTGCATATAGAAGAATTTAAGAGGGCAAAAGTGGTTATAAAGGTGAAGATTATGATAAGAATCTGGTAAGCATATCAACTCATCATATGAATTTATCCTTAAATTTATTTTTAGGGTCAAAGAGTATTCGACATAACTACTAAGATCATTTCAGCTCTTGATATTGTGTCTATGGGCATATAATCAGTTGATTAGCTGACTCCTTATATCCGTGATATTCAAACTGCACTCGGTAATTACCCTAATTTACCCCCTCAATTCGGTGGTACTAGCATCATAAAAAAATGGATTGATACTCTTTCCACCAAATAAGCTACTGACGATTTGAACGAGAACGAGATCAGACAACTTAAGTTCGACATTGACAGTGTTATGAATCAATTTAATGATCTTCTCGGATCCAAATGAATAATTATGACATTGATAAGATTTGATTATATGTATTAACGATTAAAATCTTAAAAGAAAATTTTGTCTTTAATTATTCATATAATGATCTACTCATCTATTGATGGTTCAGCAATCCTCTTGCCTAAACACAAGCAATAATGTTTTGATAGTAGTTCCCACTCTTCAAACTCATCAAATATCTCTAGTTTCTCTATCCTATGACGCTCTGTTGACTCAAGCCTTTTGGCATATATTTAGGACATATTATAGCAATCAGCTGAGCTCATCCCCCCTTATTCTTTCATTCTTAATATCTAAAATTCCTCATTAGGACAGTCATGAATTCCTAGCAGTTAGCATCCTCTATTCTAAAATGAATGAGTTAAGTTTTAAGTCAATCTTACCTCTAGGTTTTCTATCATTACTCTTCCAAAAGCATCTCCTGGATGAATCATCTCATAGTTTACGTAGACTAGATCACTTTAAAAGATTTATGAGAGACCTTTTAAGATTGAATCAGACTCAGCTTTCTTTAGATAAACAAGTAAACATTCAGTAATAACTAGTGTTGGAGCATTGAAGTCTACTCCTAGATTTGCCATATTTGTTTACAAAAGTTCGATCTCCCGGATATCCTGACAAAAAACTTTGTATTAATGACTGTTGATGTGTTTTTCATGAATGACTTCAATATCTTATTCACTTTCCAATCTTATCATATCTACTAAATTCTAATGCTTCTTAATGATTTGAATCTTCTTGGAAATGACCTCAAAGAAATCTATTTCAATCACAGTGATTTTCCCTTGAAGATTTTAAGGAATCTTTTACTCTCTCATTAAATCTTGTAAGCAAAAGAAAGTCGTATCGTACCCTGCCCCTGGTATCATTATGTTAACTTTATCAGCATTTTAATAGGCATTCAGAAACCTTAGCAATATTGATCTGATTGAGAAAACCCTTGCCCAAGTACCCCTATTCATTATTGGTAGCAATTTCTTTTTCGATCTTAAAAACAATTGACTGTAATCATCCTTGAAGTAACCTAAATTTGCTGCAGATCTAAACAAATCAATATATAAAGTCTTTATTTAATAATACACTTTAGTGATGAGAGCATCGTTTGATGTCTCAATTACTGCATAGTCTTAGCCACTAAGTTTCTTCTGCTAATGAATGAATTCATTTTTTTGTTTATTTTCTTGATCGATAGTCTGAGAATTTTCCATTTTAAATTTTTTACTAATTTATTAAAATTCATGAATACTTCAATATTATTAGTCCTGGGGTTTTGGGGTTTTGGGGTTTTGGGGAGATC